CAAAAGTCCACAGCATTTCTCGCTCCATCAGGTTTGTTCTTCCCAGCAGCCTCCAATCGTTCACTGCGGTTGGTGGCATTTCATTCAAGATTTTGATGGTACTGCAGACGCGCGCTCCCAGCACAACAGGGGTCCATTAACCGAGCTCGATGTCAGGTACGCGCCGTAACGGTCGGCTCCCAAGCGGCTGTCCTGTCCTGTCCACCGTTATCTTTCAACCAAGAGGCCAAACGGAGAATAAACAACTACTATGACTATCACTTTATCACGGCTATTTGCTCGTGAGCACCTGGTCGGCGATCTGGGACGATCTGAGATGAGCCGCAAGGGTCCCCGACAATGCCGATCTCAAACCGTTGAACTCAGGAGCTGGCCGTGTTGGCCCGACCCCATCAATTGTGTGATCGTCGACCTGGGCTCTGTCGGAATTTTGATTCCCTGCTCCGTTTTGGTTCCAATCCTCTGGGGGAACAGGGAGACGAGTAATATCTGGAGTTTGAGAACGCAACCAGCTTTGTCATTTGACGAGGGAGACTTCTTGTCAACTACCATCTCACCTACACGTTGTAGTACGAGCAAGCCACAAGCAATATCAAGTTTGCCCGGGTCGTCTGACTACACCAAACTCCCTCGCATGTGCAATATGCACTACGCTTACATATCGTTCAAGCCACCAACCCTCACTCAAGTGGACGCTGAGATGCTTGCTGCCATGAGTCTCTAGCTGTCATCATACCACTTTCCTACAGCTCAAGCTTAGCAGTCAAAACAGGCTTGGATGCAAGAAAACGTGGGAAACGGAGGCAGACCTGCCTCTTTGGTCCCATTGCATCACCGATAGACGAAACACACAGCGCCACCAACTCCTGCCTCAAGCCCCTTCAGACATCAGGGCGGCCGCCTCTGCTGAGGGAAGGATTCAAGAAACTTATCTCACGCCCCCACAGAAGCCACCGACATAAATAATTGCCTCTGGGAAATTTACCCCGCCTGTCTGTGCCCGGAAGAGATGCGCCTCAGCGGCAAAGGGCAACAAGACCTGCCATTTTGACGAAATGGAATCAGCGGGTAATCTGAAGAATCTTCAACAAAAAGATAACATTGCAGCATAAGTGGGGGGTAAAAAGGGGCAAGAAACGGACAAAAGAAAAAAAGTTGCTCACGTTGGAAGATGGACACGACGTTGAATACGTAGGTTTCTTTTTCTCTTCCACTAACTTTGGAAATAGTACCGATGCTACCTAGTGGGGTTCTTTTTCTTTGTGTCAAGTTTTACAAGGTCGGCATTAGGTGGCACAAACCACACCAAGGACGGGATCCGATTCGACTTCCAAAGACGTGGGTGAGACGGGATGATGCTGCAAGTGATTGACGAAGATTGGATTGGTTGGCTTCTGGCCAGGCCAGTTCAGCTCAAGTCCGGGAAGGATCCACGCACACGGGACGTCCTCGGCCTCCGCCTGGGAGCCTTGGAAACTCGAGGGCCTCTTCGAATACGATGGAGCGCCGAGGCTTCTATTCCCAACTGCCGGCGCACAACACAGCCAAAGACGTTGCAAAAAGACGAGATCACGGCCACCCTTCGGTAGGCCTCGGCGAATCCGCCAGAAGCGAGCCGGCACAGGAAACGGCCGGGCAGGCAGCTGGGCCGCATTCCAGCTGCTCTTCTCTTCTGTTCCACCGATGCTTCTATGCATGTTCGTAACTGATGGGAGCCAGAGGAGGTGATATCCAAGGAAACAAGACTGACCCAAGTTTGTTGGCGGCGTAATGCTCTCAACCTTCCTACAGAGCAACGATACGATACAAGTCTCCTGCAGAACCCCACCTCCTAGGAAAAATCATGACTTCACTGTACCACCACCGTGCGCACCGCTGCGGCGGAGTTGGGCGTCATTTGCTGTTGATCCGGCCTGGAACTGTTGTGCGTTCGTCGGATTTTCGGATTTGTGCTGCTGTCAGAGTTCAGTGAGCTGGAGTGCTTGGTTGGAAAACGGTCAACAGCACCTCCCATGATTCCCATGGGTTGGGGATTGTTGGATGCATGCCGTCGGGCTGGGTGTAAGACACCATCATAGTGGGGCCTATCGTGGTTGAAGCACTGCAGTGGCTTGCTGCTGGTGCACACACCCAGCTGCCACGCGGGTTTCCGTCTTCATCACTTCCAGCCTGGTGAGCTACACTCATTCACACATTCTAGCTTCTCGGAAATTCCAACTTCGACAGCTCAAAGCGCAACCAAGACCATCTTCTCTTCTACAGACAGCCTCTTCTGTGATCTTGCTATCTGTCCCACCTCAGCTACCTGGCAACCCACGCTATCTTTGGTGACGGCATGTCCGTGACGAAAGGGTGGGCGCTGCCGTCTCCACAGCGGGAGCTCTGCCACGTGCTAGCGATGATCACCCCTCGTTCATCGCCGTTCTTCTGTCGCTGACTTGCATTGACGTGAATCAATAGGCGAAAATCATCATCTCGCAAAGTTGAAAAGAGACATTAAAGAACAACTATGCGGAGCTTACCGTTCAGGCGCAAACGTACGAGCTCATGGGCCTGTGATGGAGACATTCTTTAGCATGTTTACAAGTCCATCAGCTGTGTTGCTGTCCTAGTATAAGTAAGAAGCCCGGACCCCTTATTCTACAGGTCGAGACTCCATCTCATTACACACCATGACATAGCTACCGTGTAGGATGCAAATCAAAGATGCCTTGGCTTGCCCGGGCACAGCAATAGAGATGCAAGGACGGGGACATCCGGAACGCCCGTCACAGTCAAAGACTCAGAATCCGCCCTGCTTCCATCCTCCTTGTGCCGTGTCTGGGAAGAATGGCTTTGTCTTTTCCCCGGTGGCACAGAACCATCAGCATGAACGACGCTATCGTCAGAGTGGACGGGTTAGTACCATCTACGCAGTATGATTCCTTGAATCCTATATCCTGTGCTTCAGTTGTAGTGGTGGGTGGGTGGTGGAGGGGGGCAAAACGGTCAGATAACCGTTACCCGTCCGTCGTCATAATAATAATGATAATAATAAACGGTGCCCCCTGGGCGCTGGAAAGGGAGGAGGCTCGAAAACAGTTGCCCAAAGCGACCCCTGCCAATCCCATTTCTGGACCTCTGTCGTCGTGCCATCGGCGCCATCACTTCAGCAGTGAACCCCACCGCAGAAGCAACAGGACCAGGGACATGGACAGGGCTGATACCTTTTATCCCCTATCCGTAATTGGCGTTGGGAGCCCGCCCACTGCTTTTCCAAGTTCCCGTTTCCCAAAAGACTGTCTCTTCCCCCCTCAGCGAAAGGTCAGGAACGGTGGTTCTTTTGCCTGAGCGTTGGGAGGCTGTCTTAATAGCCGCTGTTAAGACCCCATTTTTATGTTTCTCTGCCTCACCCTTTTTCCCCCCGAGAAAAGAGCGGTCCAAGATTCTGGATTCTTGTTCCTGAATCTCACTCGAGGAAACGAAACGCCGCAGTGACTGACTTGTTCCTTCTGCTTCCTTTCCGTGGAGACCGGACCACCCCGAGACCTACAGGCTGCTGAACAACACCGGCACTGCCATCATCACCTCCAGTCACACACACGACGTCCCAGTCCCAGTCCACACCGCGCACAACCCGGACAGCCCGCGTACTTCCTATCCCGTTGTCCCTCCCGACACATCCTACACCTTGGACGACACACACACACACACCCAATTGGCCTCCTCCCACTATCTCGTGCATCCAACCTGCCGTCTCGACCGAACCGTGACGTTGCGTCGGAACAATTTACAATTCCGCCTCGCGGAGCTGCAGAGGTGCTGAAGAAGAAACCCACAGGCAGGTCGCTGAAGACGCGCCAACGAAAAGGGACCACTCGAGCCACTCGAGTACCGCCAAGGCGCTCTTATTTCGGTCCACGGGACCTTTTGAGCAGCTTCTCAGCCAGGAACCGGCCACTTTAAGGGCCCTTCTCTACCAAGCAGAACAACCTCGACCAAAAACCCGCCGATTTGATACCTACCTACTTTTGGCGCAGCCATGCCCCGCCTGATTCTTTGGGATCTTCTACCGCATTGTTGATACAACTGTCTGAAACAACAGGGCTCCCCTTGACCAAAGATTGAACGAACGGGACGGGAGTAGCAACTTTAATAGTCTGTTACAACCACAGGCCAACAGGCAGCAGATCTCCCGGGAGAGCCAAAACAATTTAGACTTGGGCGCCGTCGACGATTTAGTCCCACAGATCCTCTCACCCGCAGGAGCCACTCGAACCATACACTGCAGCCTGCAGCTTGGACGATAGAGAGAAGAGAGCAACACACGAAACGAAAGGACGAAGAAGTTTTGGTTGAAAGAGAAGAGAAGAGAAGAGAGGAGAAGAGAGCAGGATATCAGCAGTTATATCTGCAACACACACATGTTCAGCAGATCATCTAGATCGCACGCCAAGAAGACTCAGGGTTTTGCGACGGAGCATCAGCGAAGGAATCACGACAATTTCGAACGGGCAGGGCTCTCAGACCTAGGCTCCGACTCGGCGACGGTGCGGTCTGGTGGTGGCGGCGCTTGGAGAACAGACTTTGGCCCGTCGAACCACAACTACTACACCGGCAGCAGTAGCGCCGCGAGGTCTTACGGGGCGCCGTTGTACCCGGAGAAGAGTAGGTTCCCGTTCCCTTGTGTTTCCCTGTCTGTCGTCTTTTGGAAAATGCCCCTCGCTGGGTCTCTCGGTGGTGACCCCGTCCTGATTTGACTGCGCCGTATCATCACGGCCGCACTCTGCCAGCCAGTCAGGCCAGTAGACTCGGCACCGAGGTTGTCTGCGCCGTGTGGCTTGCCACCAAGTAGATAGATCTCCACAGCCGGTGTGAACAAGGGCTAATCCCGCCACTCTCCAGGTTTCTCCATCGCATCAGGGACGCTTCACGCGCCATCGCACCGCTCGACGGCCTCGGTCAGCTCCAACAAGTCGCGCGAGAGCAACTCGAGATCCATCTCGACGACACAGGGCGCCATGAATTCAGACAGGACCCGGTCGCGCAGGGAGCGCACCTTTGTGGGGAGCGAGTGCGCCGTGTGCGAGGAGCCGTTGGAACACACGCTCCGGGGCGAGAGGATATTGCAGTTCTCGTGCACCCACGTGGCCCACGAGGCGTGCTTCTACGAGTTCATCCGCGAGTTTGATTCCCAGTACTGCCCGACATGCAATGCGCCACTGCACCTGGACACCAGCCGCGGCGGAAACGTGCTGGATATAGGTAAGGACGTCGAGGAACGAATGCGATTATGGAAGCAGGTTGGTACTGACCCGACGTTTGTTTGGTGCTTTTAGAAAAAATCAGCAATATGGTGCGCGCAGTGTCAGTAAATGACACCAGATCACAGGGAACTCCGACCCCGACGACGCAGCATTGGGATGATCCGGGAAGGCCGCAGAGCCGGGGGTCGAGCGCGCGACCTGGTGGTGGTGGATCGAATGGTCACCGGGATGCTCCTCGAGGAAGCCAGCGGGACAGCCGCGAGAGTCGGGAAGCGCCGCCTTCGGATCACCGCTACAACGGCCCGAGACACGCGCGGAGTGATAGTGAGGCGACGGGTGTTGCCTCTTCGGGAGGATACCCAGAAACGACGCAGAGCGGACCACCGCGGCGACACGATTATGATGTTCAGGCCATGGAGACCTCGCTCGCCAGCCCCCGGACGGTCACTCGGAATCCCATCCCCGCGCCCACGGTTACGGTGCGGTCAGAGTTTCCCACCATCACGAGGTCACGACAGCAGCAGACGCTCACCTGTCTAGTAACGGTGGAGGTGCCGGATATCAAGTGGCGGCCCGACCCAGAAGACCTGCAGGCCGCCCCTCCGCCGTTGGCGCCACCGAGAGCCGAGGAGCAGTTCCACAGGGCGCCTTCACCAGCGCAAAGTGCGCCGCGGTTCTATCCGTACGAGTCGGCAGAGGTGCTGGCCGAGATGACGGAGAGCCTGCGCAACCGGGTAGACAACTGGCATGGTTTGGACTTCAGCCGGTAAGTGGTGTGAAGGGCATACACAGTCTCGAGGAAAAGTTGGCTAACGGCAGACGGGTAGATTTGGAAAGCTTCGATTGTACGGCACACTCCGTGTGGGCAAGGACAAAGTGTCATGGCAGGAGCTCGAGTGTTTCCTGTTTGCAGAGATGCTCATCTGCGTCAAGGAGAAGAAATCTGCGCAACAACCATCACAGTGGGAGGACCAGGATGCGCCACGGAAAAGCACACGCTGCACGCTCAAGGGATCGATTCTCATCAAGAAGCATCTCAACGAGGTGTCGTACAGTGGCAGCATGGACGAGAACATTCTCACCCTCAGCTTATCAGTAGCCGAGCTGCCCCAATTCCATCTTCGGTTTGAGAACCGAAACCAGCTCAAGCTGTGGCAGCAGGCCCTGTTGGACCTCAACGCTGTTGAGACGTCGCCCGTACGCAGTCCTGAATATGACCGTGGCGAGTTTTCAGAAACAGATGAGGATGACTGGCAAAGAACACCTGGCTCTGGCCGACCACAACGAGTGTCGTCCCTGGCTTCCTCATGGGGCGGCGCCAAGTCGGCCACAACTGCGCCTACCGAGTACACCAACTTTGCGAGGAGCCCTCTTCTGCCCTCGATTCATGTGCCTGTGGATGTTGTGGTGGTGGTGCCCATTTCGGCTTCGATGCAGGGTGTCAAGATCAACCTGGTTCGCGATGCTCTTCGGTTTATGGTACACACGCTCGGCGACCGTGACCGCATGGGCTTGGTGACCTTTGGATCATCTGGCGGCGGCGTACCTATCGTTGGCATGACGACCAAGGCGTGGCCTGGCTGGGGTAATGTTCTGAACTCGATCAAGCCCGTTGGACAAAAGAGCCACCGTGCTGATGTTGTCGAGGGCGCCAATGTGGCCATGGATCTGCTCATGGGCCGCAAGTACAACAACCCCATCGCGACCATCATGCTGATCAGCGATGCCTCCACCTCGGACGCCGACAGCGTCGACTTTGTGGTATCGCGCGCCGAAGCAGCCAAGATCACCATCCACTCGTTTGGTCTCGGTATGACCCACAAGCCGGACACCATGATCGAGCTGTCCACCCGGACAAAAGCCTCGTACACCTATGTAAAAGACTGGATGATGCTCAGAGAGTGTCTCGCCGGCTGCCTCGGCGCCATGCAAACTCTTTCTCATCAAAACGTCAAGCTCAAGCTCAAGCTTCCCGAAGGCTCCCCGGCCAAGTTCCACAAGATCAGCGGCGCCCTCCAAATCACCAAGCGCGCCACGGGCCGCGATGCTGAGGCGTCTATCGGAGACCTCCGCTTCGGCGACAAACGCGATATCCTCGTCCAGCTAGTGATCATCCCAGACAACGCCTCCCAAGAGCAGCTTCCGCAAGACCCATGGGATAACATCGTCTCCGGTCTGGAAGCCCTCGGCGGCCCGATGGATCAGGACGAGCAACGAACCCTCTCGGTAGAGGAAGTCCCCCTCATCCAAGCCGAGCTCATCTGGGGTGACATCCTCCGTGACGGCACATCCCAACACACTCGCCCTTCGCTCCTGGCAATTACCATGCTGCCCGCCTCGAACTCGAAGAAGTCGTGGAATAACTCCCAGCCCATCCCTCCCCACCCACACATCGTCCAGCGGAGGATGGAGCTCTTGACGTCAGACATGTTAACACGGGCACTAACCCTCGTCTCCCGCGGCCAGCACGACCGTGCCCACACTTTGCTCAACGAAACCCGCTCCATCCTCAAAGGCCTCGGGAAAGGCGGGTTGCCACCCGTCCCACCGCTCCCCCCATCGGGAGGCAACAAATCTCAACCCTCCACCCCCCACCCGGACAACGCCAACCCCTCCCCTACGGCCGGCACCCCAGACAGGAAGAACACACCCTCTCCCACGTCGGGGAACCACTCCTCTGCCGGCAGCTTCCCACCGGTGCCAGGGCAGATCTCCCGTTCCAGATCGACAGACGGACTGGGGGTGATGGGAACAGCAGCGGGGATAGACACGAACACGGTTGCGGCGCTGGATGCCGAGCTGGAGAGCAGTCTCGAGTGGATCAACCACCCGGCCGTGTTTGGGCGGGACAGCAGGAAGGCGGTGCTGCAGGCGATCGGGGTGATCAGCAGCCAGAGGGCGTTTACGTTCCGGACGCCGATTGAGAGCCTGTGGGCGGGGAGGGTGTCGGGTGTGAAGAAGCTGACGGAAAAGTCAAGGGAGTGGAGGGAGGAGGGGGGAGGGGAGGGGGGGATCATGGAGGAGGCTTAGGAGGGGGTGGTGGTGTGGTGGTCTTCCCCTCCCCTGGGTTTGCTTGGGGTTTTTGAGTATGGGAGGGAGCGAGCATCTTGGCGTCGTTTTACGATTTTGGTGGAAGTTTTTTTTTTTTTTAGTGCGATCTGTTCTTGTTTTACACTTGGTTTTTCTTTTTCGAGTTGTTACACTTCGATTTTATCTCTCACACTTTCGAATACCCCCTATTCAGATACTTGCAACCACTTTTTTTTTTTTGTTTTTTTTTTTTGGGTTTACGTTTCTGCTTCTGTTGGAAAACTCAGATTTTCCTTTGAAAGAGCGGAGGAAGGGGTTGAGGGTGGGAGGATATATATATATATATATATATTTGTTTGGATGAGATACCATTCTGCTTTTTTTTTGTTTTTTTTTTTTTTTTTTTTTTTTTTTTGGTTTTCTTTTCGATTATTTTTTGTCTGGTGGTGCGCGGACGAGGGGAAGAGCGGAGGATAATTCTTTTTTTGGTGTTTTTTTTGGACAAGACAATTTCACAGTACATGGTTCTTTCGACCTTTTTTGTTTCCTTTATGTATACGGTGGTGGGAGGTGGGTGGTGGTATGAACCTGATATGTAGTCCATGTGCGCAGTTTCGATGGTGTGGGGTGTATTGGGTTTGGTTTGCAGCGCGGGGGAACGGGGTGGTATGTGAGATGAAAATATATCTTTTTATGTTCGTGCTCTTGTTGATACAAGAATTGTTTGTGGATTGTGAACCGCCGGAAGAGTGAAGCTGTCCCCGGCATGCGGAGCTTTCCGGGAATACGTTTTCTGCACGGAACGGCCCGCTGTGAGACTAAAAGTTGCAAGAGTGGAAGCGAGAGCCACTTTGGATTTCAACGGCTTTCGGTTTGGATAGACCGTTGTTGACAGAAACCGGTGGTGGATATGAAATGAAGAAAGAGGGATTGTATGTCATATTGACCCAGACAATTTGGTCATCCATGAACTGTAGATAGCTGCCGGGTACACTACCTTGTAGTCACGACGCTCAGGTGTTGCCAATGTTTGTTCTGGCTCATGACCACCTAGAATAGGCCAAGGCTGGCGGGAGCCCACATTGGGCAGCAGCATGATGACATGACAGATCGGGGTATCGCATCCTTTTGTTTGGTAGTTGTTCAACTCGAGCAGCAGTTATCAGGCAAGGCCAGTGTTGGTTATACAGCGGCTCCTGCCATCGGCAAAAACGGAAACACACCCAATTCCGTTTCGTTCAGCTGGTTCAGGATGCCCTTGCAAATTGCCACGTCTATTTTTTTTATCAGATGGAAATGATAATCTCTGACCAATCAGGGTGGGCAAGAGAGCGGTTCGAGCGAAGTCGCTTGTTCCCCTCTTCCCGTTGGGTTGGCCGGTGGGGTCTAGCGTTCCCCCTGTTTGTTGGTCCCCGAAGTTCCCAGGCAGGGTCAGTGAATCCCGTTGAAAATGTAGGCATTCGTTCCAGCGCATGAGCTGCTGCGAGAAATGAGGATGGGGATTTGGAGGGGCAAGGTTGCTTTGCTGTCTGAGTGGGTGAACCGAGGATTTTTTTATCACTCAAACGTCTGAACCATTTTATTCTTCAAGGCTGAATGAAGGAGGGGGATTTCAGTTCAGACAGCATACCACCCACCCACACACACACACACCGAAACACGAACCGACACGGCGAAGGCAACCACTTACGCTAGCCAGCCTGCTCACTGCCCCTGCTGATCGCTGAGGTGAGGTGAGGAGCTCTCACTCGTTCGACAGTGGGGAGGGGGTTCGGGTAGCTTGGGACTCACAAACTCAGACCCTTCTGAATGCGCCAAATAAGAACCTGGAATAGTTGTCTTGTCTCACCTTACCTGATCAGGCCTTTTTGCTCATCTCATTTGGGAGGCACCCACACACCTACCTCACTTTTCATCTCACATTTGAAATCCTTCATTCATTTGGACCCTCATCAGACTTTCATCGGCACATACACACGGAAGATGAACTTTTTTGCGGTTGGGGCGAAAGGATTATTATTTTTTGTTTCATATTCTTTTCATCCCTCCCAGGCGGCTCTGTTGATGGTTGGAGGGGCATAATAACAGCTGCGGCATAAAATCGATCCAGGCACCTTGCATACTATTTCAACAGAGGCAACCATGGCAGACAGCCAACCGCTCCTGGGCAACAGGGCTGATGACTACGGCTCAACCACGGCTGGTGAAGATGGGATTATTGAGAGGACACCGACACCGTTAGGTGCAGAGGAGGAGGAGGAGGAGGGGGGGGAGGATATACAAGATGGTGTACTGCGCATCGAGGCGGTTTCTCGGTTATGGACGAAAAAGGGGTTGATGATTGCTTACTTGGGGTGAGTTGCCCCCTTTACCTTGAGCTGTCGGACACAATCAACAAACAGTACTGACAGAACGTAATAGCATATTCTTCATGGCCTTTACCACGTCGCTTGAAGGTCAAGTGACATACTCCCTTTCCGCATTCGCCGTCAGTTCGTTCAACAAGCACTCGTTGCTGTCGACGGTTTATGTGGTCCAAGGGGTGGTTAATGGTATGTTTTGTCAATCTGGTATTCGTACGGGAGTCGAGTGCTAACAAGGTGTTTACAGCTGTCATCAAACCCCCTATGGCCAAGATAGCCGACGTCTTTGGCCGACTAGAGGCCTTCTCCATATGCATTGTCCTGTGTGTTCTGGGATACATCCTCATGGCCGCCTCGCGAAACGTCGAAACGTATGCCTCGGCGCAGATATTTTACGCGGCCGGCTTCACCGGATTGCAGATCCTGCAGCAGGTCTTCATCGCCGACACGAGCGATTTCCTTAACCGCGCCCTGTTTTCGAGTCTGCCGGACAGCCCGTTTCTGGTAACCGTCTGGATAGGACCAGCCATCGCCGCGCTGTTCCTCGCAAAGAGCACATGGCGCTGGGGATACGCCGTCTGGACCATCATTCTCCCGCTGGCCTTTTTGCCCCTCGGGCTGAGCCTGCTCATCAACGGCCGCAAGGCAGAGAAGCTGGGCTTGGTACCAAAGCGACGCGCCATGAGCACCTCCTCCTCGGCCGACAACAAAAAGCCCTCACTTTCAACAGCAGCCAGAAACCTCTTCCAAGAACTCGACGGCATCGGCATCCTCCTCTTCTCCCTCGGCCTCTCCCTCATCCTCATCCCCCTAACCCTCGTCTCCCGCTCCAAAACCGGCTGGCACGACCCCCACATCATCCTCATGATCCTCAGCGGCATCCTTCTCCTAGTCCTCTTCCCCCTCTGGGAATCCCGCGCTCCTCACCCCCTCTTGCCGCTAGAACTCCTCAAGTCCCGCACCTTTGTCGCCGGGTGTCTACTTGGCTTTTTTTATTTTGCCGTCTTTTACATCGCCGTCCAACCTTACTTTTACTCTTACCTCCTCGTGGCCCTCAACCTCCCCGTCACCAGCGCAGGGCCCATAACCCAAACCTTTTCCTTCGCCTCCACCATCGCCGCCATCGCCGCGAGTCTAGTCATCAAGCGCCTAGGCGGTGAACCCCGCCCAAAACCCTGGATCGTCTTCGGCGCAGCAATCTACACCCTCGCCATCCTGCTGCTGCTCCACACCCGCAAGCGCGGCGTTTCCGAACCGGTCCTCTACACAGCGCAGATGTTCCTCGGCGCCGGAGCGGGGTTGATGCACGTGGCTACTCAGCTCGTCGTCCAGGCGGCTGCGTCTTCGAGCTCCAACCTCAAGGGGAGGAACCGGCATCAGCACGTCGGGGTAGCGACCGCGGCGTTTTTGACGCTGGTGCAAGTCGGGAGCGCGGTGGGGAGCGCGGTGAGCGGGGCGATTTGGGGGAGGTTGATACCGGGGAAGCTGAGGGAGTATCTCCCTGAGGATGCGAAGGGGGAGGCGGGCAAGATTTATGGGAGCGTGAGGGAGGCGGTGTCGTATCCGTGGGGGAGTCCGGAACGGGAGGCGATTGCGAGGAGCTATCAGGAGTCTTGTGGAGGTGCTGCTTTGGGTGGCGATGGGGGTTTGTGTTGGGGGGGAGAAGGGGAAGGGGGTGGTGGGGGTTGTTGCTGTGGGGTGGGAAGAGGAGGGATTAAAAGGGAAGAAGATATGGTTTGGTTGTTTTTGAGAGAGGGAGGAAGCAAGCGATGATTTTCTGGTTGGATGGCTTGGTCACAAAGCGTTGAATGTTTTGTTGTTGACACCACGGATTGTTTGAATAGTTTGGGTGTTGGATGTACTGTACTCTTTTGATTTGCTGTATACATTAGAAATACACATGTCGCAAGGCAATATCACCACCACCCTTATCCCCACCATTCGCCTATCTTTTCCTTGTTTGCTTGTGGGAAAACAGTCTCAATCATAACTACAATATTGGCGCACAAGAACCAATCAGAACAACAAGGGCGTGTGGCTCAGTTGGTAGAGCGTTCGCTTAGCATACCCCTCACCTGTATGCGAAAGGTCCTGGGTTCGATTCCCAGCTCGTCCACAACCTTTTTCCCATGAGGGTATCATTTTCTTTTTTCTTAGGTCCCTGCCAATATCTTTTTGCAGCTTCAAGTTATGAGAGAGTGATTTCAAGTTCACAAGCAATAGTAGAGCATTAAACCTGCACACCTTCCAGAGACGCATTATTCCAACTGATTTTAAAATATCAAAAAGACACCGCGATGTGAATACATACATCTATCACCCCCCCCCCTCCCTTCTTCACCATTATATACACCCCAGCCCAACACCCACACTCTCCCGTATCACACAACCCCTTCTCCTTACTACTTCCCCCCATCATAAATATCCCCCACCCCAACCCCCATCTTCCCCAGTCTCGCAACAAGCATGGTATTCTCCCTCTGCAAATCTCCCACCTGCCCCCTCAAAATCTCAATCTCCTTCCTCGCCACATCCCTCTCCGCCCTCGTCCGCTCCAGCTCCATGGCCAGATCCGCCCTCTCCTCCCTCTCCTGCATCTTCCTCCTCTTTTCCTCCTTCTTCTTCTCCTCCTGCTGCTTCTTCTCCGCCAGCCTCCTCACCTCCCTCTCATACTTCTCCTTCTGCTTGGCAATCTCCCTCTCATGCTTCTCCTTCAGCCTCTGAAGCGCCGCTTCCTCCTTCGCCTCGTCCGATTCCTTGTGGTGGTTGTGATGTCTCCTCTGGTGCGACCTCTCCAGCTTAGCCTGCGCCTTCTTCATGCGTTCCTGCAGCTTCTTCAGCTCCTTCTCGTGCTGGCTCGACAGCGAGGCCGAATGCGAAGTGTGAGCTACCGAGTTGTTGTCGTCGTTGGAGTGCAGGGACGAGGGCGAGACAGAAGACAAGGTGGAGGCGACGTCGTTGTGAGAGTCGGCTTTGGATAACAGTCCCGCTGCCGTGACATCATCATCGCCACCACCACCCTCTGCGTTGTGACCTTCTGACGCAGAGGCAAAGCTGAGTTCGGATGATGTGTCGCTTTCGTCGTCATTGTCGTTGGACAGGCTCTCTTCGTCTTCGGTAGCAATCGTCGAGCCGGCGAGGGTGGCTACTCTAGACGCAACCGCTGAGCCGGCTGCCCCGAGGGCTGATGCTATCATACCGTAAAAGCCGCTCGGGGGCGTGACCTCGCCTCGTTTGTCATGGCGGTGCACCTCCCCATTATGGTCCGTGTCACGGAGTTGATTCAACACCGAGGAATCAACCGCGCCGCCGTTTTCGATTTTCTCGGGCTTCTTTCCTTCGGCTTTGCTCACCTCCTCCCCCTCCCCTTCATGGTCTCCATCAACAGCCGTCTCATCGTCATCACTCCGTTGCTGCTGAGCTTCAAACCACTTCAGAAACTGCCCCGCGTCATTCACAATCCCCCCCGGAGTTCCCTTCTCAACCATAAACCTTGGCACGCTCCCCCCCGGGTCACTCCTCGTGACCATCAACCACTCAATTGCCATTTCCATATCCTCCTCTTCACTATCCTGCCTCTCTTCAATCGCCTTCTTGGCCGACCTAAGAGCAGCGTCCTTGCCGTCTTTCCCATCATGCTCGCCCCAGTCACCACTCGACCTCGTCCTCCTAAGCAGCTTCACAACCGGCACCTCCCTAATCACCTCCACACTCTCATACACCCCTCTAATAAACCCCGACCGAGGCGGACAATCAGGGTGCTCCACCGGCCGACTCACAAGCATAAACTGCCTCAGCCCCCTCCCCTTCTTCTTATTATCCCCATCAGTCTCCTTCCTCACCGGAGGCGTCATATGCAGCGCAATAAAATCCCTCGCCGTCGTCGGTCCTCCAAACCTCGCCGAAACCTGAAACACTGTTACTTTGTCAGCCTTTATCCAACCCCCCCCCCCCTCCTCTCTCAATTCTCCATCACTTACCCTCCATGAGCCCCTCCTCTCCCTCAACCCTCACCACCACCCTCTCCGCCCCGATCCCCCTAATATTCCCACATCCAGGCTCCTTCCCCTCCCTCTCACACCTCTTGAGCGTCTCTTTGAACTCCCGTCTCAACGCCTCCTCCCACCTCCCAAAATCCATCCCGTGATGCAAGCTGTACCGCCCGAACCAAGCCCCCTTGCCATCTTTGGCCGATAATTTGTACACAGTAATCCCGTGGGGGTTATCCCTCGGATTAGTCTTCACCTCCTTCCACTCTTTCCTCAGTTTCTCCACCGTGGCTTTTGTCTCTGGTGATGATGACAGGACAGAGTTCAGATCGAGGGTCGCAGTCGCGGATTCGGTTTGCGATCTTGGGCGGGTTGTGGGCTGAGGGTGGGGGGGGGAAGGAGGGAGGGAGTCGACGAGGATTTGGGCGTTGGAAAAGGTGTCGGTTATGACTTTGGAGATGACCTCGGGGGAGGTGCCCGAGGAGAGGTCGGTGGTCCAGGAGAGGGGGGAGAGGGATTGGAAGGGGTGGTGGTGGGTTGAGCCGCCCATCTTGTCTGTCCTGCTAAGCCAGCCCTGCAACAAGGAGAGAGAGAAAAGATGGTGATGGATGGTAAAGAGAAGAGAAGAGGAAAAAAAGTAAACAAAAGGCAACAGGCAGAAAGGCAAGGTGTGATCGTCAGGGGGTCCAATCGCAATCTGCCTGCCCTCTCCTATTCGAGTGTGTATGTGTGTGGGTGTCTGTTGGTAGCGGTCGTTGTGTCACCTCTAAAAAGGGCTTTTCGTCGTCTCCAGTTTCCGTTTGTTTGGGCTGTGCCGTCTGATAATACGAGACACGGAGACGGAGTGGTAAAAAAGGGTCAAAAAGTCGGGTACTTTTGTCAGCGCACTCGCGAGAAGATTATAAAAAGGTACGATCTCGCAGAAAAACAAAAGTAATATTGATTTTCAGATGCCAACTTGTCATTGAATTTTCCGCGTATTTGATAGCTAGCTTATAATAATTGATAGGTTGTCTGTGCCTGTCACGAGCTCACACTCTCAAGCTTGCTTTGGGGAGCTTGTCGGACATTCAACGTAGGTGTTGACGTCACCACAAGGGTCGCCCCTGCTTCCAACAAACGTCACTCAGTGACAAGACAAGGCTTCGGAAAATCATCTGGGGAAAACAGCTGCAACTAAATTTGGCTCGGATTCAGGGGAGAAGCAAAGCAGCAAGGGACTTTTGTAAATAGCATCGTGTCTCTGTATTCTTTATATGCAATGCAATAGAGACAACAATCAAGCAACGTCCCTAATAATCGTCTAAACGCACCGCTTGCTCCATAGAAAACCCAACAATGCTATACATAATACAATACACACGTGACGCTTCTTCTGCAAAACCAATGTTCCCCCTTTTCCCAGCCCGCTTGCCATATCAGAACTCACTTTGCTAACTCGCCCGCACCGTTTCCCAAAGCAAACACCAAGCAATATCCTACCAACCACAAGGACTTTAACAAGCAATACAAGAAGGCGCCTTTCAACCTTCTCCCCCGGTTACTGCATCGTCTTCAGGAACCCATCTAAATCGAAACTCTCCTCGTACTGGCTGTTGTCCCACAGCTCGCCCAGTCCATCCAACCATGCTGCCCTCTTGCCCGGCTGCCGTACCTCGCCAGTCTCCACATCCACCATGTCTTCCTCCCTGCCTTCCAGCGTTTCTTTAGGTTTGTCCGTTATCAGACTGGGGCCAGAGTCGCCCAGATTGAACAGGTCCAAAATCTGATCCGTGTCCATGGTTGCGAGCCCTGCGTTTTGTTGATTAACCACGGTGCTGGCCACGTCGATCTTGAAGCGCTGCAGGCTGAGGATCTTCTCTTCCAGAGTGCCGCGAGTGATGAGCCGGTACACGTTGACCACCTTCTTCTGACCGATACGATGGGCGCGATCCATGGCCTGGAGATCCTTTTGAGGATTCCAGTCGTGCTCGACGAAAATGACCGTGTCGGCACCCGTCAGGTTCAACCCCAGACCACCGACGCTGGTGGTGAGAAGTAGTACGTCATAGGAGGGGTCGCTGTTGAACTTGTTGACAATGTCTTGGCGACGGTTCGCTTCGACTGAACCGTCCAGTCGGAGATATTGTGTCGAGGGAAGCATGCCCTTGAGCACCGTGTTCTGCACCATGTCCAGCATTTCTTTCATCTGACAGAAAATCAGAGCACGGTGAGGCTTGATCGGCGTGTACAGCGGGTCGCTCGACTCCTGCCCTTCGACACCAATCCCACACTCCACCAAAAGATCGCGGAGCGCTGTCAGTTTTGGTGCGTGCGCCGGATCCTCCAGGCTTGTGCCCTGCCTGGCCAGGAATTTCTGCGTGTCGTCATAGGCCCTGTGGCCTGGTTTCATGACAAGGGCCGGCGAGTTGCAGAGCTTGCGCATGTATTGCAACGCCTGGAAGATGTGCTGTTTAGCCTCCTTGTCATCCCGCCCAGCCTCCTCCGTAATCGTCTTGGCTTCCTTCTTGGTAAAGTCCTCAAACAGTTTGAGCTGGAGGTCGCTGAGGTCACAGTAGTAGTTTTGCAGAATCTTGGGTGGCAGGTCGTTGAGCACCTCCTCCTTGAGACGACGCAGCAGGAAGGGAAGGACTTGCTTGTGAAGAGCTTCGATGGCCAATGCACCGGCTTCTTGCTCCTTGGACGAGGCCTTGCTGTTGCGACTGTTTGCAATAGGCTTTGCAAACCGGTCCTGGAACACCTTTTCGGCACCGAGGAAGCCGGGCATGAGGAAGTCAAACAAGGACCACAGCTCCAGCACGTTGTTCTGAATGGGTGTGCCGGTCAAGATGAGCCGGTGGTTACTGGCGAGCCGCTTGACAGCCATCGAAAGCTTGGACTTGGGGTTCTTGATGAGATGACCTTCATCAAGCACCACATAGTTCCAGTTGTACTTTTCAATGATTTCAATATCATTGCGGCAAACATCGTATGAGGTGATGACAATGTCCGTCTCGTCCAGAGTGTCTTTCATGGCCTTGCGTTCCGCGGGGGGTCCAACATAGGCCGTGACGCTGAGGAACGGGGCGTAAGCCTTGATCTCTTGCTGCCAATGCCCCGATAGCGTAGGCGGGCAGACGATCAAAGACGGAAGCCTCCGGACATCAGGGGAACCCGTCTTGGCATACTCCTCAGCACGGTTGTGGTGATCGCTGGCTACGATGCAGATAGTTTGCAGCGTTTTACCAAGACCCATGTCATCGCAGAGAATGCCGTGAAGGTGATACTTGTTGAGGAAGTGCAGCCAATTGACACCCTCCTGCTGGTACGACCGCAGCTCCGCCTTGATGGCAACGGGAATCCGAAAAGGTTCCACCTTCTTCGGGTCAAGTAGCTGACCGATGAAAGTCCGCTCTCTGTCACGGCCCTTGAGCAGCTCCTCTGAGAGTCCGGGAGGGTCGGGGATACCCGCCTCAAGCGGCACCAACTTGACCAGCGTGGCAAAGGATGTGGTGGCGATCAGTCTGATCTCGTTGTCTGAATCGCTCATGCGGCCCAGCACAGGCACGATGAGGAAAATGACATACGGCAGGATCCTGTCGCCCATGACAGCGATCAAGTGATAGATGACTTCGATAGCACCCTGTCGGAAGTTGAGGTCTAGTGGGTTGTTGATAGATGGCAAAACCTTCTCTACCAGAGTCGTCATGCCTTCGATAGTGATGACACTGCAGATGGTCGCCATGCATTTGGCGGCCATGTACCTAAATACGGATAAGTCTGAGTGCAGCGCCTTGATGACCAGAGGCACCTGCTGCATAACAAAAGGATGAAGGCCCGGGTGTAGTGTTGGCACCATGGTCCGGATGACAGACATGGCATCGACAATCTCTTGGCCAAAGGTGCTCTCTGGATCTCTTGCCTCTGCCGGGAGGGAGCCGGTGAAGGCTCTCACCAAGGGCTCTTCCATAAACGTCTGCAGGCTCGGAACGCGGGCTAGGAGATCAGGACCAAAGCTATGGGAAAGCAACTCCAGCGCTTCCTTAGCGCCGCGACGAGTGATGCGAGCTGCCTTGGCCTCCCGTGCAAACTTTGCGGCATCGACGTGGTCGACGCGGTCTTCTTCCTTCTGCATCGACAGAATGACATTTGTCTTGTGCGCATGGATGGGAAACTCGGGCGTCTCGGCGACTTCGACACAGGAGAACTTGACCAGATTTGCAACCACCTTGTCTGCCGGTCCTCTCCTTCCAGATTCGGTGAAAAGCTGCACCAGTTTCGCAATGGTGGCTGCTGACCTCCCTTGAAGTTCTTGGTTTTCCTCCGTCTTGATGCTGTCCATAATTGCCTTGATCAGCGGACTGGGCTTCTTCGGAAGAACACGGATGGCGACAAGAGCACAAGCGGCAGCGGCCTTGATGCGTGCATCGCGGGCCTCCTTGGCAGATTTCGCTTCCTGGATCGCAGCAACTGTGACATCGCGAGACTCGAGAAGCTGAGGGAGGGCGATGAGCCTCTGGCCAGGCGCCATTGCTTTCTTGAGTCTTTCGAAATCATCAGTGACAACCTTGTCAGCATTGGCAATAGAGAAAGCGCCAGGCCCGGCCTCGGGGTCGCCCTGCACGACGACGGCAAGGCTGGGCAGCTTGTTGCTGTGCACTTTTCCGTGGTCGCGGAAGAGATTGAGGAGTTGTTGTGTTTGCGATCGCACGCGATGCACATAGCTGACTAGATCGCGGTAATGTGCCGGGCGCTCCTGGTCGATGATCTTCTGTAATGGCTCGACGAAGCGAGCAGCCATCTCTTTGTTGGCACAATTTGACGCGTACTCATGAACGACCATGGCAGCAGCAAGCTGGGTTGAAGCAAATGGAGATAACAGGCTCTGCGTGATGGCAGCATCATACGAGCCCAGACTAGAGGGAGGCAGCATTGACATGAGCAGTCCCATCGCCTTGGCCGCAGAGACGCGGGATCGGACCAGCACGTCCATGCCGACTAGATCAACATCGCCTTGCATCATGTGGCCGTCAACATCGTGAGTCTGTGTGGTGGGAGGAGCATCGTCCACCTTGGTCGACTTCCTACGACGCTTCGGGGCCCTTTCTGCACCCTCGGGGGGCGACGACCTTCTGGTACTGGGAGCGGGGATGCCGCTCATGGAATACGTCCCGCCAGATGGCTTGAGGAAAAGTGTCGCGTTCATGGGAAGGGGGTGTCGTGGAACACCAATGGGGTGCATCGTGAGGAGCATGAGTGCGTCCACATGAGCTGCAAACTCGTCGGCGAGGACGGCAGGATTCTGTCCGAGGTTGCGGACGAGTGCATTCCACAACTCAAGCGACATGCGAAGAGTCTCTGCATCCCTTTCAACAAGAATATTCTGGAAAATGAGACGTAGGATCCTGCCGGTGAGCCAGCCTTGAGAAGTCTCCTTGCCCAAGTCCACAAAGGTCATCAGCGCCTTGAGCACAGCGAGGCGCACAGAGGTGATGGTGTGGCGGAGGAAGGGGTAGAGTCTAGGAACAAGAGTGGTGAAAGATCTCTCTTCATCCTGCGATGCCGAGAGCTTCATCGCTTCCAGGACTTCTGGGAAGCTGCAAAGAGTAGCAAGCAGATCCATAATCTTGCCGGTAGACGCGCTGAGATCATCGCCCAGGTTGGAGAGACTCTCCCAGACTATGTCGATGAGGCTGTCCAGTGCCTGTGGGCGCATGGCCACGAACTCCTTGGCCATGGGAATCAATGTCGCCGCGCTGGCCGAACGAACATCGTCATCCATGTCGCCGAGGCCCTTCATGACAGAGCGGATGACGCCGTCAATCATGTCCCCATCTTGAAGCAAGAGGTCCTTGCGAACAGCAACAACATATCTCAGGCCGACCATGCCACCATGACAGATGGCCCAGAGGAGATTCTGCTCCGACTGCTGCAGCCCCTCCTGCATCACCATTCGGTAGAGTAGTCGGTATATGGCGTACACAGACTGCGAGCTGACATGGCGAAGGACGGAACCGAGAGTTTGACCCACAGTTTCTCGAATCGGAGCCACGGACGTGTCGGAACTGTAGTCAGTAAATTTGTCGAGCATGAGTACGCAGCAGAGCCTGCATGCGAGGTCGTCCAGCCACTGTCCATTCAGCCTGGTGTTCTCTTTGATCGACAGACCTCTGCGCCTCCCTGCGCCAGCACCATGTACTCTCACCAACTCCCTTAACCCCATCGCAGCTCCATGACGAGTCTCCCACTGCGGGTCAAACAAGTCAACTTTGAGAAAGTCGCAAAGTCGCTCAAAGGGCCACTCACTCCCTTCCATGGCATCATCGACCTCGAGCTCCGACTTGATGGGCAACAAAGGACCTTTGAACTCCGAAACGACCTTGCTGTCCTCGTCCACGTCGGCCGGTCGATCGAGGCTGAAATACTGGGACATTTTACCGTTCTTTTTGGAGTCGGCGTCAGTCATAGACACATCGTCGCCGAAACCATCGGAACCTGCGGTTGTCGTGCGGCGGATAGAAAGGTCTCCAAAGCCGGCCTTGCCCTGCGCAGCCTTCTGGGCCTCTCTTTTTCGCTTCCTCTTGAGAACGTTGAGTTGGCGTGAGCTGAGTTTACCCTCTTCGGGGTTCTGGCTCTGGCTCTGGCTATCAGTCGCCATAGCGTCCTGCTGCCCGGAGCCGTTGGTGCTGCCAGCTCCCTGAGGTGTCGCAGGGCTGCCGACATGGTCGCTGGCGACGGCCATCTCTTCGTCTTCGACGACTCGGCCAAGAAGACCAAGTCTGCCAGTAAGTGTCTTCTTGAGATGGGCCAGCCGTTTTTGTGGATCCAATGCCGCAAGGGCATAGTCGACGGGGCCGCCTCTCAGCAAAGGCCGGCCATACTTTACAATCTTGGACATGTCAAGTGCATCGAGGGTGTAGAACTCCTCCTGATCAAGGACAGAGTCCTTGGCCTCCTCCTTCTTGACAAAGCCATTTTCGGCAGCGGATTCTGTTGAAATGCCTTCATCGGCGGCATTCGGTTCATATAGTTGTGCATGTTCAAGGATTCTGCCAAGGGCTTTGGCAGCAGTACTCCGGGTCTCCCAGTCCTTGTGGCGCAGGTAAGGGACGACTCTGGAGAGAAGATTGAATAATTCGTCAGGGTGGTGTTTTTGCCAGTCGGCAAGCTGATTGACAGCAGTATCCCTGATCAATCGGGTGCTGCCCGTTTCGAGGATCCTGTGGCAATGGTGTCAGTGAACAAACCGATCACAAAGAAACAACAGACACGGCATGGCAGGCAACACAGGGACGTTGCCCCGTAGCGCAGCAGCGCATGTTGTGTAAGTGCCATGTGCTGAAGCAGGCAAATGATGTGCAGGGTTACTCACGTAACGAGCCGGTCAAGCCTGTCATGAGTGTTAGTAAGACTGAGCAGGTTTGAGATGAGATGAAAGAAGAGCAGTGGATAATACTCACCGAGACGCCATTCTTGTTTCATATCAACGAGGACAGTATACTGGGTTATTCGATGCGAATCATGGCACTGCGTCCTTCTCGTCAGCATGGTGTTCTGGTGCCTGATTTCTCGAGATCGACGGTGACAGCGAAGGTGCGATGCAAGTAACCAGGCTGCTGCAGGCTGCATCCCCAAGACCCGTGCAAAACACGGACTGTGATTCGCTGGCCAACATCAGGGCGGATGCTTGATTGCAGCTGGTGGGGTGGTGGTGCAAGGGGCCCAAGGCGAGGCGCGCTGCCCGACGAGATCACAGATCTCTCCGATGGGACCGAGACAAGCCAACCCGATTCGCATCATGAACGAACGGTTTTGCCAGATCGCTCGACGACGACAACAACACAGCACATCACAAAAATGTGACAGTCATCCAATGATATGCATCGAGTGCTTGGGTCAAGGGTAGAGAAGAGACAAATAAATGAACAAAAAAAGAAAAAGAAGAAAAGTAAAAGTGACATGGGGGGTCGGGATCTGACATACCTGAGACTGCACTTGAGAATAGCCTCAAAAAAAAAAGTCGATTGCCGAAATGGTCGGGGTCCGCAGAGTCCGCAGAGTAAAAGTCAAACTTTCTCTTGTGGCAGGAAATGGGGATGGGGCACAATGTGCTTAATATGCTGGCATCAAAAAAAAAGCCAAGGTGAGCCTCTCGGTGACAGGTGAGGGCCGGCGTCGGGCCAATCAGAGGCGGAGATGTGTCAGGCTTGGGCTCAGTGTGACCTGGGGAGCGACGAGTGCAGTGGAAAGGTCGGGTGGAGGGCAGCTGGCTGGTCTATAAAGAATATTGGTTTAAATTTATAGACAGCGGGCTCTCCCAACGCTCCTTCCCGGACGGCTTGCAAAACTAGCGTGGTTCTGGACACCCTTGTCCATGCGCGCCCCCCCAAATCCCGTGCCCACCTGGACCACACCCCCTGCCTTGCCTTCATCATTTTCGCGACTTGCTTCTTTCCACCGAACCTCAGCATTTCAGCTGGCAGCAGCAGCAGCAGCCCTCTTCCCTTTTGCTTCTTTTCTTTTTGGTCTCCCGTCGTGCATCGCCTGCATCATTGATGAAGAAGAAGACATGAACTGCCGGTGCACCTCACCTACCTTTGCTTTCCTTTGCCTTTTTGATAGGCGCAGCAACCATCCTTCCTACTCTGTACCTTATTTATTAGCAGGCATTCTCAGCCACTGACGACGTACGAAGACGGCATTCTCGTCAGAAATGATTTCCCCGCCAAAAAATAAAGAACGCCAGAAATCAAAACGTGGGAACTGGAAACCTGTCCTGTCCAACCCAACCCACGGAACCTTTTTTTTGAATCAACAGCCGGAGACTGGAGATGGTGTCCTCAGACCATGACGACAACGTTCCATATGTGTGTGGGCAACAGGTACAGGTAGGCGCCCTGGGGGACATGGAAAGGCTGGATGCAGCAGGCACATCGCATTCGTGCCGTCCCGTTTGTGCTGTGTAGTCGTTGGCGTTCCATACCGCGCACAGCAGGTTTCGGTCATGATTGAAGTTTCCAAACCGTCAACGATGAAGATGGAAGTTTTGTCCCAGATCCCCTTCCTGTACGCTGTCTGTCATAACAAAGTCCAATGCATCTGTAACGGCCAACGGACTCGCTCGGGACAGTCTTAGCTTGCACTTCAGTCGAGCGTTTCCATCAGGCTGGCGGTCCAATATGGGCATTAAGGTTCAGCCTGTGGCCTCCTCGCATCAATGTCCGAGGGAAAATCCAGTGCTACTTGTACCCATTCCAACGAGCCACGCTGGGTTGCCCATGAGACAAGTGATAGACGATGCATGGGCGATCAATAACGGGTGTCTCTAGAGAGGGCCCCTTCTTTCTTCCGTTGCACCCAGCCAACCCCCGCCAAATATGTCAACCGTATTCTGTTATGTCATTGCTGTCTATGCCTCGGAAGCAAACAAGCACGAGAACAAGGTTCGTTTGATGTCTTCGGGGTTCCAACGCACGTAGACGCTGCAGGCAGCAAAGCAGGACACCAAACGACAACAAAGAAAAATTGAGAGCCACCAACAGAGCCGAAAACTTCAAAGCTTCCAGACCAGATCACACAATGCTGGCTGCCGCTTTGTGCCATATGGAAGCCTGTTGGAAGGTCACGTGCTGTTCCGCCAAGGGTTGGTCCAAGCTTCTTTTGGAAGAAGCACGCACCACCCGCCCACTGTGGGCGCGCGACACACCGAGCAGGACGCGTTGGGAAAGGTCCCCTCATTCGGCAACTGTTTCGTCCCTCATCGCGAAACCCAAATGACGCCGACAGCAACACGGCGCCATCTCAAGACAGTATCTTTTGTTTGTTGCACTCGATTGATTTCAGAAGAATAGTGGCCATATCTTCTCTTTTTTTTTCTGACTCGGCTGTCGAGTCGACAGCACCAGAGACAAGATGCATATCAAACAGATTATTATCCAGGGCTTCAAGAGGTGCGACAACTCTTCTCAACGCGTCGCCGTTGCAATAAAGCTAACTTGGACGTGTCTCACAGCTACAAGGAACAAACCGTCATCGAACCTTTCTCTCCAAAGACCAATGTCATTGTCGGGCGCAACGGCTCTGGCAAGAGTAACTTCTTCGCTGCGATCCGATTCGTTCTCAGCGATGCCTACACCAACATGAGCCGCGAAGAGCGGCAGGCTCTGCTGCACGAAGGATCAGGCTCTGCGGTCATGTCGGCCTATGTCGAGATCATCTTCGACAACACCGACAAGCGTTTCAGCGAACCGGGCGACGAGGTGGTGATTCGGCGGACGATTGCCCTCAAGAAGGACGAATATTCCGTCGATCGAAAGGTCCAGACCCGCGCAGATGTGTTGAAGATTCTCGAGACGGCCGGTTTCGCCAAGGAAAACCCATTCTACATTGTACCCCAGGGTCGCATCGCGGCCATCACCAACATGAAGGAGTCCGAGAGGCTCAACCTTCTAAAGGAAATAGCGGGTACCAACACCTATGACGACCGGAGGATACAGTCGCTCAAGATCATGGCCGAAACCAACAGCAAGCGCGACAAGATTGACGAGACCCTGGTGTACATAAAGGAGCGACTTAGGGAGTTGGAGGAAGAAAAGGACGAGCTTCGCGACTTTCAGGACAAGGACAGGGAACGCAGGTGTCTCGAGTATGCCCACTGGCATCGTCTGCAAAAGACCAATGCTGAAACTCTTGAGCAAGTGGAGGAAGCCAGGCAAGGGGGGGCAGGGGCCTCTACGAAAGATCGCGCCCAACTCCGAAAGACGGAGAAGGAGATTGCTGTTCTGGACCAGAAGGCCCACGAACTCAGACAAGCTCTGGAGTACCTCACTATCGAACGGCGTCAACTGGATGACGACCGCAAGGACGCGGCTAGGGCGCGTGCCAAGGCCGAGCTGAAGACCAAGCATTTGGACGAGAGCAGGCATGTCCGCGAACAAACACGACAAAGGCAGGAAGCCGAGCTTCAGGAGGTCAGGCAAAAGATTCAACAAGCCGAAGCAGAGCTCGTCAGAGTGCAGCCCGAATACGAGAAGCTGAAGGCTGAAGAGGCTGAGATCAAGACTCAAAGAGACTCTGTTGCTGCTGGGCGAAAACGACTCCTTGTCAAACAGACCAGAAGCAGTCAGTTCAAGAACAAGGCGGAACGCGATGCATATCTCCGCAATGAAATCCAGGAGGCGACATCATCTCTCGGTCTCCAAAAAGCGAACGCCATGGACGCGAGGGAGCAAGTTCAGCAAGTGGAAAGTTCACTTGCGCAGCTTGAACAGTCCATTCAGCATATCAGGGCCAGAATGGAAAGCTATGGAGGCAACCGCACTGCTCTTTTTGAAAAATTGACCAAGGCGCAGGAGGCCAGGGAACAGCTTGAAGAGGAACGAAAGCGGCTTCGTCGTGAGGATGACCGACTCAGCTCGCAGATCAGCAGCACCAGGATGGACAGAGACCAAGCAGAAACGCATCTCTCACATGCTATGGATTCGGCGACGTCCAAGGGTCTTGCCACTATTCGAAGGCTTAAGCAGGAGAAGAATATTCCCGGCGCTTACGGGACGCTGGCAGAGTTGATGAATGTGCCGATGGATGCCTACAAGCTGCCAGTGGAACAGGTCGCAGGAAACAGCCTGTTTCACTACATCGTGGATGACCAGGCCACAGCGACGATGCTGTCTGATCACCTGTATAAGAATTACGGCGGTAGACTTACCTTTGTGCCCCTCGAACAGATTCGCCCAAGGCAGGTTAAGATGCCGAGGGCGTCCGACGCCCAGCCCCTCATCAGCAAGATTGAGTTCGACCCATTATATGAGAAAGCATTCCAGCAAGTATTTGGCCGGACCATCATCTGCCCAAGTCTGGCTATCGCTTCTCAGTACTCACGCTCACACGGCCTTGACGCCATCACTCCCGAAGGCGACACAACCAACAAGAGGGGTGCAATGACGGGTGGTTATGTCGATGCCAGGAGATCACGTCTGGACGCGGTTCAAAAGGTCAGCAAACTGCGTGAGATCTACGAGGCACAGTTGGCAGATGCTGCCAAAATCAGAAAGGAGATCGAGGTGATAGATCAGAAGGTCACGGCAGCAAGGGGCGAGGAAACCAAGATTCAGCAACAAATGCGCCGCTTCGACCAGGACTATGACCCTCTCAAGGGCGAGCTTCAGAGCAAAAATTCGCAGCTTGAACGCCAGCGGGCTCATCGCGAGTCTGCATTGTCACACTTGGCCGAAGTGGAGAAGAACATGAAGGAGTTGGACGATTCCATTCTGGCATCGCAAAACGAATTGGCCCAGGACTTTAAGAAGACCCTGTCAGCGAGTGAGGAGCAAGAGCTCGAACGCCTAGGCAATGAGTTGAGCGCTCTGCAGAAGGAGTTCAAGGCGATCAGCACAAAGCGGATTGATCTTGAAGGTCGCAAAAAGTCTCTTGAGCAGGAGCTGAACACCCATCTCCGACCTCAGGAAGATCAACTTCGAAGCCAGGCTTTCGAGGCCACGACGGCAGGTGGTACTGAAAGCTTCAAAGACGCTCAGAAGGAACTCAAGAAGGCTCAAAAGCTGGCGGCGGAGGCGGAGGCGTCTTTGGAGGAGAACGAGCAGCAGACGGAGCAGACAAGCAGTGAGCTGACCCAGGTAGAAGCTCAAAAGGCGCAAAAGGAACAGGAGCTCCAGGAACTGCAAAGGCGTATTGAGCAATACCAGAAGAAGATGGAGAAGGCCATTCAGACGAGGGCTCGCCTCATCAGCCAGGCTGCTGAGTATGCCAAGAATATTAGAGATTTGGGTATTCTGCCTGAGGAAGCTTTTGGCAAGTATGAGAAGATGAAATCCGAGCAGGTAAGCAACCGAGTATGTTGGGGTGAGTTGATTGGAACGCTAGCTGACATGTCTCCAAACAGATCGAAACCAGACTTGCCAAGGTCAACCAAGCCCTCAAGAAGTACAAGCACATCAACAAGAAGGCCTTTGATCAGTACAACAGCTTTACCACACAGCGAGACAACTTGCTGAAGCGCCGGAAAGAACTTGATACCTCGCAGGCCTCTATTGAGACGCTCATTGAGCATCTTGATCAGGAGAAGGACGAGGCCATTGAGCGTACCTTCAAGCAGGTGTCGAAGGAATTCTCCACCATCTTTGAGAAGCTTGTTCCAGCTGGTCACGGACGTCTTGTCATTCAACGCAAGGCGGACCGTGCCAAGAACAGAGCTGCGAATAATGACTCGGATGAGGAGGTTGTCAGTGGGGTTGAGAGCTATACTGGTGTTGGCATCAGTGTGTCTTTTAACTCGAAGGTCATGGACGAGCAGCAGAAGATTCAGCAGCTCAGTGGTGGTCAGAAGAGTGAGATTTCTCTCGGCATTTCAACCTGACATGTATGTATGACTAACCAAGGAATTTATAGGTTTGTGCGCTCTATGCTTGATTTTCGCCCTCCAAGCGGCAGAGTCCAGCCCGTTTGTCATCTTTGACGAGGTCGACGCCAACCTCGACGCACAGTACCGTACGGCAGTGGCCAGTCTCTTGCAGTCGATTTCGGAGGAGCAAAAGACGCAGTTTATCTGCACGACTTTCAGGCCGGAGATTGTGCATGTTGCTGACAAGTGCTACGGTGTGACGTTTCACAACAAGACGAGCACGATTGACTGTGTGAGGACGGAGGATGCGCTCAACTTTGTTGATGGGCAGAAGAAGTAGGTAGGTAGGTAGATAGTGTGTGGGAAGGAAATATGTTTCATGGTTGTATGTTTGTTTATGTGTTTAGGAGGGAATAAAAGGGTTGGCGTTGGTTTTGTGTGTGATGGTATAAGGTGGGTGTGTGTGGTACATATCCAAGGGTATGGTATGGCTATGTGTTTTGCTGGCTTTGAAGCGAGGCGAGTGAGGATGTCTAGCTATTCGGGGCATGGTTTACAATACAATGGTTATTTGCTGCTACTCAAGGCCGGTGTTGATGATGGTCATTCATTCAATTAGCATTTTGGTTCTCTGTTCGGTCGATAGGTACCTAGTTCAAGGGAAACGGAAGGTGATCTTGGATGCTCAGAGAAAAGACATTCTCAGGGGCAAAGGAGCAGACTGACGCCCCCCCCCCTTTTCGGCAGGCAGCTGTGCTTGGGAGCTTTGACGCAGAGGTTTCTAGAAGCTACCCCACCATGATGTTGGTGGACGAGCGACGACTGCGGGGCTGTCAACCTGTCCCAAGTTCCCAAGCAGTTGGATCAACATCCCATTCCCTTTTCAACTGTTTGTTTTCAAGAGGCAACTCTTTTTACTTTCTTCGACTTATCTCCCAAACTATAGTCGAATAAAATCACAGCAACCATGCCTGTAGACTACAGCAAGTGGGTAAGTTACTTTCATCATATCTATCCCCCAACCACCTCTCCCCCACCAGAACCAGCTATTGACCAACTATGATTGATTAGGACGCCCTCGAGCTCTCGGACGACTCCGACATCGAAGTGCACCCCAACGTCGACAAGCGCTCCTTCATCCGCGCAAAGCAGAACCAGATCCACCAGCAGCGCCAAGAGCGCAAGCTCCATATCGAGCAGTACAAGTACGAGCGCATCGTCAATAATGGGCTCATCTCGCGCATCTCGGGCTTGCTTTCGGCCCTCCAGTCCCATGCTGACGAGGCCAAGACCAAAAACCCGGCCGAGGTTGCCTTCAGGGCGGTGATGGAGTCGGCTGCGGGGTTGGATCCGAAGGATGACATGCCGCCTCCACGGCCGGAGGCGCTGCAGGCGGCTGTTGGGGGGGAGCCGCTGCCGAGTTATACCAAGATGATGGCTACGTTGCTTGATCAGGTGAATAAGGCTTTGGATGAGAGGGGGGTGGGGCAGGAGGGGAGGTATGAGGGGATGGTGGGGGAGATTGGGGAGCATTTGAAAAAGGTGGAGGGTTTGCAGGGGGAGTTGGAGAAGAAACTGGCGGAGTTGGAACGGGAGGAAGCGAGGAAGATTACAAGTGAGGGGATTCATACTGGTTTTGACTCGACGCATATCAATAAATCGAGTGGGGGGTCGAAGGCGGAGGGCGGGGGGAGTAAGGAGAGTGGGAAGGTGGAGTTGTTGAATCCGAATTATACGCCTCCTGAGGCGTTGCCTGCGCCGAGTGAGAGGGAGGAAGGGGGGGACGATGACGACGAGGAGGTTACGGCTTCGCCGGCGGCGGTCAAGTTTGCGAATATCAAGTCGAGTGATTATAGGGAGTCGCATGCTTGGTTGAGCAGTCATCCGGAGATTTTGACGGAGAAGGAGACGGATGGGATTTTGGTCATGGCGTTTGATGCGCAGCTGGAGAACAGGTCTGATTACGCGCGGAACTGTGTTCATCAGGCGTTGCTTATTCAGTACTGTCGGGCGTTGGGCAGGGATGGGGTTGCGTTGTTCTTCAAGCGGATTACTACTCCCGGACACAAGGCTCAGGAGGTCTTTTACAAGGATGTGCAGGATACGTATATGAAGATCAAGAACAGGTCGAGGGAGATTAACCTGCAGAGGGCGAAGGATGAGGCGGAGGGGAAGGGGGAGGGGGTGGAGCAGATTCAGCTTCATGCGGTTGATCCGGGGACTGTGATTAACATCAGGATCCCGCCGAAGGATAGCGAGGATTTGGATGTACAAGTTGGACGGGCGATTTTTGAGAGCTTCACGCCCGAGATGCAGAAGGCGCTGGAGACGGGGAGTTTGGAGGAGGTTAATAAGGTGCTGGGGAAGATGAGTGTTGAGGATGCGGAGGAGGTTGTTGGGAAGCTGAGTGAGGTGAGTTATTCCAGAGTATTTGATGTGGGTTGGGAATGGTTGCTAACGTGTGAATAGTCTGGTTGTTTGAGTGTTGAGGAGGAGGTCATTGATGCTACGACTGAGGAGGGCAAGCAGAAGATTAAGAAGCTGGAGCAGGAGGCTAAGGAGCAGGAGAAGGAGGGGCAGGAGAAGGAGGGGCAGGAGAATAAGGGGCAGGAGGCCAAGTATGCTGATGATCCGGAGTGAAGGGGGGCTTGTAAGATTGGGTATTGGTTAGGTCTGTGTAATACATGCAAATGAAAAGTATGAATGAATTTTCTTGAAAATGGCTTGTACGCTTGGTTGTGATGTCGTCGGCACCCTGATGATTGCTGCGTATGTCATGTGCCCGGCTACTACCGTAATGGCTGAGAAACTCTCGGACGTGACCATACTATGGACGAGGAAATAGAGAATGCTATTTTGAACAGGCCTCTTGATATGTTAGGTTGGCGTTTAAATCTCGTCTAGGTGGTCTACAAAAGGCTTGTTAGATATGTTGGTGTGATTGGAATGCCTCTCTATTCCGATGATAGGTCTCTTCACGGTTTTCCAACCCCTTATCATCGCCTTCAGGGGTTTTTATTTATTCTAGCAGTCTGTCTCTTCTTGTCTAGGACACGCTGCCTTATAGCTCAATCTTGGACGAAAAATGTCCGTCCCCACAAGGTGTCGACAACCTTCACGTACCTACACAACTTAGCTGGGCTTTCCTTAAACGTACGTACCTTCCAGTTGAGAAATCATATCCTTGTGGTATAAATACGACCAACAGCTTCGCTCTCGAAATTCCGACCCTTCCTTTTACAACAACACCTACACCCAGCGTCAAGGGCGCTGCTATTCCCAAGAGCCCAGTGGCTTTCCGGTCAATCTCTTCTACATTGACCTTCTCATATCATTCTCCTAAACAGATTCCGTATTCTTCACATTCTTCCAACAAGATCACGAATCCCTTGTTTCCTGGCCAGGTCAATGCTGAGTGTCCTCTAGGATTTCCTTTTCTTTCAGAAACGCATACTCGATCGATCGATCGATCATCCTCTTTTCATACCACTTAACTTGCACCTTGCGACTAACATGTTGGCGCAGGTCAAATTCCCGACCTATTCTTACTCCATTTTTTGAAGATATTTCGGGCACAACGATCGCCACCATGCTTCCTCTGAGCTTTCCCTTCGCTCAGAGTTGGGGATTCCTTTCCCTCAACGCAAACGTCTCACCACCCGAAGCTGGGGGGACGGACACATCCCCCTCGACTCTTGCCAACAGCTCCCCCACAAATAACGCCGGTCAAGATTCTGCGCAAGTATCCGGTTCGAGTAAGCCTTTTCGTCTTATAAGTCACCTTTTCATCCCAACAAGCCGCTAACCCCTTAAAAACATGGCAGAGCCTTCACCTAGCACCAATGCTGGTCCAAACACTGCGGTCATTCATGATGATCCAGATTCCGATGACGATGAGGTGCTCGATATTGGCAAAGTCTTGAGACAAAAGGCCAACAGTTCGAAGCCTTCTACGACCAGAGCAACATTGGACCCCCCGCCCCCTGGTAGTTTGGCTGCAGAAGCACAAGCAAGACCTGTCCCGGAGACGCCAGCCAAAAAGCGAGGGTTGGGATGGCTGGATGAGAGCCCCATCACTCCAGCCGTGGGCATAAACACTACCACAGACACGCCGGTCACAGTCCCACACCAAAACCAGAGCGCTCATCGGCAGGCCATTCCGTCTCGGGCTTCAGTGACCTCGCCAGAGGCCCAGCGTGAGCATAACAGGTCCAATAGAAGCAAGGAAGAGAGAGAGCGTGAAAGACTCGAGACACTTGAAAAGCTCAACGCCAGACGCCAGGCTATCAAGACTCGGGCGTCTGATGATGGGAGATCTCAGGGTGGCCACCCTAGCTCCTCAAGGCTGCCGGTTGTTGATCTGAGGACGCCGTCTGCCAGTAAGGTGCCTTCTGTGGCAGATACGAGCTCATCTCGCCGTTCACGGGTTAAACTGGAGGAAAGAAGGCGGAGAAAGGAGATGGAAAAGGCTACTCGCGAAGCCAAGCGATCTCGTCAGAAATCAACGCCATCTCAACCTCCTCCATCTCAACCTCCTCCATCTCAACCTCCTCCATCTCAACCTCCTTCATCTACACCTCCTCCATCTCCACCTCCACCTCCGCCCCCTACCTTTCAGACCGCGGAGCCCCGAGCCGTTGATAGAGAGATATCAAGGGCCATCCGACACACTCCAATCACTGCGGGTGAGGCTGCCGAGAGGAGACCGAATGAAATCAAAGCCCACGGAGCAGAGGTCTACCGGAGCGGTGCGAATAGGGGGACATTGATAGTTGATTCCCTGGAAGAGACAGAAACCACGGGCGCTGATGAGGCTGTCTTCGTCCAGGCAAAGAGGCTTGCCGAAGCTGAAGCTCGGAAGCCAAAGACCCGTGTTGTTACCGGGATGGAAAGTGATGATGTTCAACAGGATGCTCGGCCTTATGGCGTTTCTCGGGATCAACCTGCTTCTGCCGGGCCCAGTCGGCTTCAGCAGCCACGTAATCAAGGTTCTGGAGCTATCACCACACCAACCCGTGGCCGGAAGTGTGATCGCTGCACCAGGATGAAGAGGCCATGCACCTTTGGACAGCCTTGTTCGCGGTGTCAGATCGCTGACGTACAGTGCGTCTACTTTTCGAACGTTGGCAGACTGGATCTACAGCCAGCTGAGCGTCCTGAGAGACCAGAGACGGAGAGTTTTGTTGATCAACAGTATCGACTATCTTTGCCTCAACCTGGGTTTCAGGAATCTCAACCTATTAGCATGCCACCACCGCCTCCACGGCCTGTCAGGCAATGCCGACCACCACCACCTCCTCGTCCTCCTCCGCCACGTCCCAGGAGTCCGAGTTGTTCCCC